TAATTTAACTTATCATTTTTTGCTAATTTTTGTATTTAATACTTTATATTGTTTAACTTTATATATATTAGAACCTTTTTACTTGGGCAATTAATTAGCCTGTGACGTGATCCAATGAAACAGAGAATATTCATAGTTTACCAGCTCAGATAGCAGTTATTAAGAATGTTTTTCATGATCATATCACAGCATTGATTGCCATCTCACTTATTAAGTTATTAATGTAGTTTTAATATGAAGAGCATTTGTATTTGTATATGCAGTTGAAAAAAAATCTAAATAGTGCAAAGTATGTCTTTTAAGTATTGGATTGGGTTTGGTTCTTGTGAACTGTTATGAAATTTTTTCATGTATTGGATTTTTGTTGTTGTTGTTGTTTTGTTTCTTGATTTTTGGTAGAGAAAAGGGATTCTACTAACTGGTTAAGGTTTTTTGCCTTGTCTTCTTTTCTTTTTGTACCGTCGTGGTAACTCTCGGGAATCTGTAAGGACTTTAAGGACTAACTTGTCTGTGCCCTTCTTGCTAACAGTAAGGGAAGTCCGGCTTCTTCTCCTACTAAAAGCCAGGACCCGGCCATCCAGGTGACTGCGTACCACAAGAAAGTTCGGTAAGGTCACGACACGCGGCCCTCTTGTGGATTTTCCTTTCTGTTTTCCATATTTCATTGTTTATTTTTCTCTAATGAGTGGATTCTAGATTGTAATGTGGAATTTAAAGTATGGTACTGAAGTTATTTTAAAGTTATTTAAAGATGTTATTAATGTTAATCGATGATATTTCATAAATCAAAATGGTAATGTAAAATGTAATGCCTGACATTTTCTTAAGTGTATGTATATATATTGTATGATTATGTAAAGTAGCTTTTATGTTTAGTTAAATATTTCTGTAGTTAGATTGAAGAAGTAAATACTAGAGAAGAGCTAACTTTTGTACTTGAGCTTAAATGCAAAAGTGTGTAGCACCATATACACTGTATATACTCATGCATGATATATCCCCAAGTAAAAATGAAAACAAGAAAAACACAAACACAAATAGCATTCAGCATGTCAAAACAGTGTGTTCATGATATTGTAGGGTGGCTTGGAATAGTCTCTTGGAGAACATTGAGGCTAGGGACCAGAAACTGGAAGCTGCTGGTGAGATCCACCGCTTCAACCGCGACGTGGCAGAGGCACTGGCAAGGATTCAAGAGAAGTTCAAGTCCATTCCTGAGGATCTGGGTCGTGATGTGAACTCAGTCCAGTCTTTGCTCAGGAAGCACGAAGGGTTTGAGAATGACCTGGTGGCTCTGGAGGCCCAGTTGCAGGTATGTTTGTCTTTATCTTGTTTTAGAATGAACCTAGTGATTTTTGTAAAAAGGAAATTATGGTGGATGATGGACATTTTATATAGGATTTCTATTCAATTTTTGCTTATTAGAAAACTATTTTGAGGTACTTGCCTTGTAGATGATAGAGTTATATTACCATTTCTTTAGGTACTGGTTGATGACTCAGCAAGACTCCAGGCAGCTTACCCAGGCAGTAATGCAGAACATATTGCTGAACAACAAGCGCTTGTGATTGATAACTGGAACACACTCCAAGAGAAAGCCTCAAGGAGGAAGGAGGAGCTCCATGCTGCAGCTGACCTTCAGAGATTCTTAGCAGATGTAAGGAAATACAGAATGCCCCCCTCCCCTCTTTTTTATTATAAATGTGTAGACAGATGTAGTTAGCACTATTGATGCTACCATGTGTTTATAGTTGATTTGATGTGGAAGTACAGGCACAACGGAAGAAAAACAATTAACAAACTTTCACATCCAACAGTCTCGTAACTTGATCAATTGGTCAAGTGATTTGCGGGCAACAATGAAGGCACAGGAGAAGGTGCGTGATGCTGCTAGTGCTCAAGGCCTGAAGACTGAGCACGAGAGGATCAAGGCTGAAATTGAGGCCCGTGAAGATGTGTTCAGCAAGGTGGTAGAGGCTGGACGAATCATGGTGGAGGACAGACACTATGCCAGTACCGAAGTGGAAGAGAGAGTGAACAAGAATTTTTCTTTTATGACTTTATTTTTTTTATACTGTAATAATCAATTGGTATGATATGATGAGATGCAAAGTATGCATTTTTAACTCATGTTTTTTTTTACCTTGATATTGAAATCCTCCTTTAATGGCTTAATAGGTCCTTGAAGAGAGAAACCAGTTGCATGCAGCCTGGCAGCACAAGAAGGTGTACTTAGACCAGCTGATAGACCTCCAATTCTTCTTGAGAGATGCCAAGCAGCTTGACACCATCAGCAGCACTCAAGAAGCTGCTCTGTCAACAGCTGACTTTGGAACAACCATTGAACAGGTGGATGCTCAGGTAAAGATGATGCTCAAGTATTTTTGTTATTCAATTCATTGAGGTTTTGGTGATTACTCGGGTGATGATCACACTATTAGTATTTTTTATATGTAGCAAGATTTATTGATTTATTGTTTTGGACAGCTACTTTTACAAATGATACGCAGAACTCAGGAAATCAGGTATGAAATATGATGTAAGACAGATGTGTTTTATTAGTACAAGGTATTTTTTCATCTGCTTACAGGTTAAGAAACATGATGCTTTTGAGAAGCTAGTGTATGCCCAAGAAGAGAAGCTAGATACTTTGAAGAACCATGGCTCAAAGCTCATTGAACAGAATCACTTTGACTCCCCACATATCAAGAAGCGTATTGATGAGGTGGTGTTGAGAAGAGGCCGTGTAAAAGATGCCACAAAGTAAGTTACATTTTATTTTCATCGTGAGGTTTCAAAGTAGCAGTAGATCATAAGCTGATGTAATGCTAATAAGCTTTTTGGCTTTTGACGTTGGATGTTTCTATAAAGACTATAATCTTTCAACAGGGCACGTAAACAGCAGCTAGAAGATGCCCTCCTTCATGCCCAGTTCATCAGAGACGTAGGTGATGCCAACATGTGGATTGACGAGAAAGTCAACCATTTGGAGGCAGCACGGACAAAGGATGTCACCAGCTTTGAGGACAAGGTCAAGAAGCTGCAGAAGCACCAGGCCTTCATGGCTGAACTTCAGGCCCACGAGTCAAGGATCAAGGAAATTACTGAAAATGGTAGGTTTTATTCTAGAGAAATTCATGAGTGAATAATCTTAATAGCTTATAAATGTAGATATAAGGAATTTTAGCAAAATTTTAAAGGAATATAATTTTTTTTTTTTATGAATTTATTATTTTCTCACAGGTGCAATGCTTGTCAAGAAGAAGCATAAGTCATCAGCTGAAGTAAAGGAAGAGGTAGACCATCTTGTAGAGAGGTGGACACAGCTGGTGCTTGATGCTGAGAATCACTCCAGAGGCCTGGAGGAGGCTCAGGACATCCTTGAATTCAACACTCAGGTGGAGAAGGTCGATGCTTGGATCAGAGACAAGGTAAGTCAGTGTTTTTAGTATTGTTTCACAGTGAAGGTAAGATAGATAAATTTACTGAAGAATTTGACAGATTGAGGCTAATTAGAAAAGATAATCCCTATTTGATTAGATGAATTTGAGTTTATGGTGTTCTTTGCCACAGGAAATGATGGTCCAGGCAGGGGATCTTGGTAAGGATTATGAGCATTGCATGGCTCTTCACCGCAAACTGGATGATGTTGATTCTGACATGCGTGTAGATGATGCCAGGTTCACAACCATCAATAGATTAGCAGATAAGATCATAAAGCAGGGCTGTGGTGACAACAAGGCTGTGGAGCAGAGAAGAAATGAACTGAATCATAAGTAAGTCATCCATCACTATGATTGCTTTTTGTTTTGTTAATACTATGTATGCTGATTTTATGTTTTGTATTAAAAGTCGTTTAGTATATATAGTGCTTACTAACTTTTTTCTCCTTTTTATCTGTAGGTGGCAGGCCCTGAAAGGTGCCATTGATGCCTACCGCACAGAGCTTGCTGGAGCTTTGGAGATCCATGCCTTTAACCGTGATGTTGATGACACCAAAGCACGCATTAGCGAGAAGGCTGTAATCCTTGCCAATGAAGACACTGGGAAGGACCTTACCCAGGTTGAGGCTCTCCAGAGGAAGCAAGAGACCATCATCCGTGATATGTCGGCTATTGAAAAGAAGATCAAGGAGCATGAAAAGGCTGCCTTTAACCTGGCCAAGAAGTACCCAGATATGAAGGATCCCATCCACAAGAAACAAGCTGAGGTTCTAGAGGCTTGGTCCAAACTTTGTGATGGTTCCTTTGGCCGGAAAGAGAAGCTCTCGCTTTCCTACACACTGCATAAGTTCCAGGCTGATCTACGGGAACTGGAAAAGTGGGGAGAAGACATTGTTAGCCGTATGAATGCATCCCCACTGCCCAGCAACACAGCAGAAGCAGAGATGCTACTGCAGAGTCATCAGGAGAAGAAGGTTTGTATTGTATGGCTGGTATTCAGCAACTCTCATTTTGTGCATTTTATTATGATATAGAATAGATTTTTTATATGTCATTTATTTTATAATTGACTACATTATTGTTATTTGCTTACTCTTGCATTATTATATATTATTATTATATTTTCATTGTTTCTATTTTTAAAAATTATTATCAAGTATTAACTTTGCTCAGTAATACTTATGATGATCTTCAATATCTCTTTGCAGGCTGAAATTGATGGACGAAATGAAGTGTTTGAAGCTCTACAAGAATTTGGTGAGAAGCTTATTGCAGATGATCATTTTGCAAAGGAATCCATCAAGGTGAACCTAGAAACACTGAATGAAGTGAAGAGCAAGGTATGTTACACCACTGTTATGGATTGAAGCAAATTCCTCATCAGTAAATTGGAATGCTTAGATATTGCTCCTCAACATTTGAAGAGCCAATAAACCCTTAAAAGGTACATATCAAGGTAACTCAATCATTTATTGTCACTTTTGCAGGTCACAGTGTTCTGGACTGAACGTGAGAAGGTCTTATCTCAGGCTCATCAGCTGCAAGTCTTCCTAGAGATGTGTGAACAAGCCAACTCATGGCTAGCAAGCAAGGAGGCCTTCCTCAACAATGATGATCTTGGGGTAGGTTGTACTTGTATGGAAAAGGAAGATGATCTACTGTACCTAACAGGACATGTCTCCTTACACCCCTTTTTCTTAATGTTCTTATCATGCTCTTTATGTCTCTTTTATTATTATGATTTTCTTTTCTTTTGTTCTTTTTTTACCTTTATTGGAGGAGAAATGTTTTATTTGGTTGAAGGATGTTTTATGTGCTTTAGTCATTTGTCCTTGTTATTGTATTTAATGGGTGGTTTATCCTGATATTCACAAGTTGTAGATTCAATGCTGCTTATGAAACACACGGTTGATATAGGTAAATGTATATATTATTCAATATTCACTACTGACAGGAATGTTATTACATATTTAATGCTGAGAGGAATATTTTGCCAAGTAGTGGTATGTGTCATTTCTTGATCCTCCTCTTTTGCAGTATAGGGCTAAGATTTTATGGAATAATCAATAACTCAAGCTTGATTAGCCATAAATAGAATAAATTGGCACATTCTGTGACTGGTTTGTGTTTCTTATTCTTGATTTGTTTTAAAGTTTGCTTTCAACTTTAAAGCCTTGTATTCTTCTTCTCAACTTCACATCTGAATGTTCTCTATTTGTGTATGATGTTTATTTGTGTTTGTCTTTTTATTTCATTAACATGCCACAGAATGTGAACACAATATATGAGGTAAGGGATGTGATTATGGGGACCATTACTGATAATATTATTATTATGATCATTATTGATGTTGTTGTTATTGTTATTATTCTTATTAGTCATTATTATATCATAAAATTTTCAAGGAATGATAATCATACATTGGACACTTTTTTATGAGATTTGGAATGTGGTATTTGCTAAATGTTTTTTTGCAAAGATATTAGGACATTTCAAGCCTTTCTCTTTATTCTCTTAGGATTCTATGGCATCTGTGGAAGTGCTGATCAAGAAACACGAGAGCTTTGAGAAGACCTTTGAGGCCCAAGGCAACAAGATTGAACAGCTGGAGATCTTCGCTAAAGACCTGCTGAAGAATGACCACTATGACAGCGATGGCATTCGAAGGCGCCTTGATGTTGTGACTGCCAAGAGGGATAACCTGAAGGAAGCAGCACATCAGAGAAGGCTAAAGCTGAGGGAGTCCAAGTTGCTGCAGCAGTTCTTGAGGAATATCTATGAAGTGGAAGGTTGGATCTCAGAGAAGTTGCAGGTAGCATGTGATGAGAGCTACCGAGACCCCACCAACCTGCAGTCCAAGATCCAGAAGCATGGGGCATTTGAGGCCGAAGTCCTCGCCAACTCGGGTCGTGTCAGTGCTGTGTCTCAGGAAGGTGAGGGCCTTGATTTTGTTTCCTTTTAATAAAGTATTATATGATGGTTTATCATTTACACAGATGGATAGAAATGTGATTTTTTAAAAAAGGTCAAGTAGCATGTCTCTTTGCTCAATGGAATCTAAATAAAAAGAAAATGTTTGTAAATTCAGATTATTTATCTTTTTTTTTTCTTCAATAGGTGAGAACCTTATTTCCAATGGTCACTATGCTGAGCAAGAAATTCAAGCAAGACTGGACGGATTGGATTCGCTGTGGAAACAACTTCAGGACTCCTCACAGCTCAAGAAGGATAGGCTGAATGAGGCCTACCAGGTAATACTGTAACATATTATGGGTGTGTAATATGAATTCGAAAATATAAAGCCGTATCTCTTTTAAAGATTGTATATTTGATAATTTTGTATTTATGTGAAGTATTTTTATTTACTTTCGATGATCTGCTTTAAAGATTCCTTGGTTGTTTTTCTTCTAGGCACTCCTTTTCAACCGCACTTTGGATGACCTTGAGTCCTGGATGGATGATGTGGAGACGCAGCTGCAGTCAGAAGACCATGGCCGAGACTTGACCTCAGTCCAGAGTCTGCTGAAGAAGCATCAGCAACTGGAGAATGACATTGCTTCGCACCAGAGTGAAGTGGATCAGGCAAAGGAAGTGGCTCAATCATTTGCTGTTGCCAAACATTTCATGAGCGAAGAGATCACTGAAAGGGTTGAAGCAGTCACAAAGAGGTATTATTTGCCATTCAAACTTTATTATTACTGTTTAAAGGTAAAAGTGTCACCAAGAAGTAGCTTTGTTCTTTCCTAATTGCAATTCAAATGTCAAGGTAATTGTTTCTGAAACAGTATTGATCCTTTTCCATTTATAACAAGCATTTCCTCACTTTCCTTCCAGATACAACTCCTTACATGAGCCAGTACACATTCGCCACGAAAATCTTGAGGATGCACTCCTTCTCCAGCAACTCCTGCGAGATATAGAGGATGAGCTCTTGTGGGTGGCAGAGAAGGAGCCCCTCGCTTCAAGCCAGGACCTTGGCTCCTCCTTGACAGCTGTGCAGAACCTCCAGAAGAAGCACCAGGTAAAGAGCATGTCTTGTAAAATTTTTCTTCCCCCTCCCCCTTTCTTCAAGAAAATACTGAAAATTTAACTTGATATTGTTTTGGCTTTATAGATTTTGGTAGAGTAAATAAAAAGAATTATTTACCATATTTAAAGAAAAAGCAGTGAAGATCCTACACAAAGATACAATCAAATAAGAAATTATATGAAACATAATCTTTCCTTCTTGTTTTAGGCCTTGGAAGCAGAGATCCAGTCTCATGAACCAGTCATCAACAGTGTAAATAGTCGATCACAGCAGATGATCCGTTCCGGACATTTTGCGTCATCAGATATTGAGGAGAAGATGAAACAGTTGCAGACACAGCTCTCACAGTTAAAGGACACAGCAAGTGTCAGAAGACTCCGGCTGTTGGATGCAGTTGAATCTCAGATGGTGAGGAAAAAATCTGCTTTTATTCCTGAATTGGCATTTCCCTATGCCTCCTTTTTTAGGGAGTTGGCTATTAGTAATAATTATTTCATCTCTTCATGTGTTGCTAAAATTTGACAGTGGCCTGTAAACATGCATAAGAATTTTTATCACATTTTTTTCTCTGCAGTTCTATTCTGAGGTTAATGAAGCTGAGGCTTGGATGCGAGAAAAGAGACCACTTGTTGTTTCGCAAGATTACGGGAAAGATGAGACCTCTGTTGGAGCTCTGATCAAGAAACTAGACAATGTTGCAAGAGACCTTGATAGTTTCAAGACAACTGTAGAAAAACTATCTGTCTTGTGTGTAAAACTTACTGAGAGAAGACACTTTGACAGTGAAAACATTACCAAGAAAATGGTAAGTGTAACAAGTAATTTTCAGTAATTTCTCATTTGTAGTAAAGATGGATGAAGAAAAGGGAAAAGATGAGGCTTATGTAGATATATTTTTAAGCCTTTGCTTTGGTGAACAGAATTCATATCCATTTCCTTCCTCTTATAGACCCAAGTGAATGAGCAATATGCAGAAATGAAAACGCTACGAGAGAAGAGAGCCAAGCGCCTGGAGGACAGTGGGAAGCTGTTCCGTTTCCTGCGTGAGAGTGATGAAGTAGGCGAGTGGCTCAATGACCAGATGGCAATAGCAGCAAGCGAGGACTATGGCAGAGATGTAGAGCATGTTGAGATCCTGATCCAGAAGTTCGAGTCATTCCTCACAGCATTGAATGTCAATGAGGAGAAACTGGTGACAGTTAAAGAAAAAGCTAAAGTGCTTATCGATGAAGGACATCCTGAGCCAACAAAGATTCAGGAAAAGGTAGAGATATGCCAGAGAGCAAGATTTTTTTTTTTTTTTTTTTTTTCCCCCACTCATCCATTGATTTAATCATGTACTCATTCTTCACATTGTTTGGAATTTGGAATGGAACAGCTGCGAGTAGCAATGGAGAGGGAGTTAAATCAATGCTTGATGTTTAGAATTTTAAATTTGTTTTTTAGATTGATTTCATTATTGCATGTAGTGGTACTGAAAGTAATCATAGTGAATTAATGATGAAGAAGATTCTGATTACTGCAGTATGCTTGTATTTTGGAAAATGATATACTGGAAAATTATAACCAAATTGAAATGGGTTTACTTAATTTTATTTCAGGTGGATGAGTTACAACAGCTGTGGGATGACCTGAAAGAACTGTCAACTGCAAGACAAGAGGCCCTTGCTGGAGCTAAGCAGGTATGTTTAATTTACTGGTTCAAGTGGCTGTTTAGAGATACCAACTTCCAGAGAACAATGTTTTCCTCAATTTTAATGGATATTGAAAATGTTTTGATTATACTGAACATGTATGTTTTATTTCATTTTATTAATAATTGCTTATAAATGTTCCTCGCAGGTGCATGTATTTGACCGCAATGCTGATGAAACCATCAGCTGGATTGCCGAAAAAGATGCATTCATTTCCTCCGAAGATTATGGCCATGACCTGGAGACCATTCAAGGTTTGGCAAGAAGACACCAAGGCTTTGAGAGAGATTTGGCTGCTGTGAAAGAACAGGTATGATCTTGTTTAATTCAGCTTTTTTTGTGTCTTGCTTTATCACTTACCATATAAACATAAAAAAAGGCATTGTACATATTACTATTAATTGATAGCTTTAATGGACTTAAATTTTTTAAATGATTATTGTATTATTTGAAAATAAATGTGTTTTAAGTTAGTCTGTTCAATGTATCCACAGGTGGAATCAGTTGTCGAGGAAGCAAAGCGCTTGGCGGATCTATTCCCAGATGCAAGAGAACACATCTCAGTGAAGCATGAGGAGACAGTTGAAGCCTGGAATGACCTCCTCGATAAGTCTGCCCAGCGTAAAGATAAGCTTTACCAAGCTGAGAAACTACAGTCATACTTTGATGATTACAGGGAACTCATGTAAGAATTGTGATATTGGTAGACTTCAGTTTTTATATTGGATTTTGTTCAAGGTTGTTGAACAGATAATTAATGCTCACAAATTCTACCTCTCACATCCCCCTTCCTCTCAACAGGGCTTGGCTGAATGAGATTCTACCGCTCATCA